AAAAAAAATTGTGAAAAAAACTTATTTCGAGAATTTTCCTCAAGTGTAAAATGTCAATTTTTTTAGTGCTAGAAAAATATGAATATGACATTTACACCACAGTTTTTGGTCCATTTTAATATGCCGAAGGAATTTTGAACATATCTTTGCATCCACAAGAATTTTCATGTCAGGTAAAAATGGTGGCAATGTACGTAGGTTGAAACACTCGAAGGTCCGTAGGTTGAAACACTATATAACGCTAATGGAACATTCTAGAAGTTCATAGAAACACACAGAAATCCATGGAATTTTCTAGAAATTTCCAGAAAAATCGAATGGAACATTGAAAAATGAAAAGCATAAAAATCGAAAAGAAAAGCATCAGATCTGTCGCCCGAGACTACAAGATTGACCACGTAAGTTTGTCGCGCTACGTGAAAAAACTCGATAAAGAAGTTCCAGATATTACGAAAGTATCTGATGACGAGTTGATGGTTGTCGTTCACCGCGTTGCATCGTATACGACGCCAAAATTGGTTTTCAATGAAGAACAAGAAGAAGCGCTCGTTGAATACATTATACGGTGCTGTCATCTCTATTACGGCTTGAGCATAACCGAATTGAAAAAGTTGGCCTACGAATTTGCACGCAAACTAAACATCGTTTATCCCGCGAATTGGGATACTGATCACATGGCCGGAAAGTCTTGGTATTATGGTTTTATGTTACGCCATAAAAACCTTTCATTGCGCTCTCCAGAACAAACAAGCCTTAATCGAATCAAGTCTTTCTGCCAAGAGAACGTTGATCAGTTTTTTGATAACTATTCGGCAATATTGGAAACCCATAAATTTGAGCCGCATCAAATATGGAATATGGACGAAACTGGATTCCCAACCGTTCCAACTAAATTTGGGAAAATAATTGCCGTAAAAGGAGTCAAACGCGTTGGTCAAGCAGCTTCCGCCGAGCGTGGGACATTGGTTTCGATGGCGCTAGCTGTAAATGCAGTTGGTGGCTTTGTTCCACCATTTTTTGTCTTTCCTAGGAAGAATATGCAGAGCTATTTCATGGATAGTGCCTCGCCAAATGCCGACGCTACCTGCAATGAGTCTGGTTGGATGCAACAGAATGAATTTGTCAAATATATCCGGCATTTCCTGAAATACGTCAATTCCAGTCGACAGAAACCAATACTACTTCTGCTTGACAACCATACATCGCACTTGTCAATTGAAGCAATTGATTTGGCTCTTGAAAACGGCATTATTATGCTTACGTTTCCACCACATTGTTCGCATAAAATGCAGCCACTCGATGTATCAGTTTATGGACCACTAAAAGGATACTACAGTACAGAATGTAAAAATTGGCAGACGGCTAACGCTGGGAAGGCGCTGGATATTCGTCACATACCCGGACTTGTGTGCGCGGCCCTGGATCAAGCTTTAACTCCAGCGAATATAAAGTCTGGTTTTATTAAAACAGGCATTTGTCCATTGAAGCGAAATGCATTCACTGAATCGGATTTTGTTCAAGCCAGCTTGAGTGGTCAAATTTCCGATGTTGCTCCGATTGAGAATGCTTTGAATGAAGAAGAACGAAGGCGTATTTTTCCGATGGGTGCTGCATGTCAAACTTTTTCGAAATCAACAAAGCCATCTACATCGGCTACAACACCAACAACAATGTCTCGCTCGTCAAGTATGGCTTCAGTTTTGTCCGAAATTGGACCCGTTCAGCCAGCTATGCCACAAAAAAGATCCAATCGCGGTCGTAAGCCGATGAAGAGCACAGTTCTTACATCAATAGAAAATATCGCAAAACTCAAGGAAAAGCGGCAAAAGTGTGAAGATGCGAAAAAGAAAAAGGAAGGAAGCACACAGAAGCGAAAACGTTCATATCAAATAGAGCCAGCCAAAAAGCGAACACAGCCTACACGGGCAGCCGCCTCAAAGAAGGAATCGTCATCGTCGTCGGATGAAGATGTGGATTTCTGCATGATCTGCATGGAAAACCTGCCAGCAAAATTAACCAAAAACAACTCAATCGAATGCAACAAGTGCCAGCGGCCATTTCATTTAAAGTGCGTTAACATGAGCCTAAGCTAATTTCACGTACCAAAATTGCAACTCGGATGCCGATCTGTCTGACGAAAATTAATGAAATTTTGATTTTTTTTATTCTCTTTTTCATGTTTGAGGCCTTTCTGATAAATAAATGAACAATAAACACTTGATAGCTAGTGTTTTTATTCCATTAATTACACCTTTTTCTCAATTGCAATGAGTGTTTCAACCTACGGACCAAATTTTTTTTTGGAAAAAAATCATGTGGTCGGAAAATTGGTCATAACTTTTTTGTTCTTAAAGTAATTCAATTAATTTCTTCGGCAAACATGTAGCCAAGAACATTACCTTTTCAACGATATATGACTCTCCGTAATATTTTCTTAAAGTAATTTTTTTTGGCTAAAAATCAAAACCCGTTTCAACCTTCTCCCCTATTATTATTTACATGAAAGGAAAGAAACAATAATTTTTCATATACTATCTCAAAAATGCTTTATAAAAATCAAATTGTATTATATTATAATTATTTAATTAAATTATTTTCAATGAACCACCAAGGCGAAGTAGCGCTGTTCGGTGCAGTTATTATTATTATTATTATTATTTTTCCACATGATTCGCTCAGGGATTATCAGTGGTTTAATGAGGAGAAATTTGGGCCGGGTCTCGGACTTGTGGAGTGCTTCGGAGGGCACTTAAAGCCGTCGGTCCCGTGTGTGTGCACAACGAATAATGGGTTCAGCATAGACACACGTAAAATGGAGTGCCTTTACGTTGGTTTGGTGTCTTGGATATGTCAAATATCCAATACGTCAACCGTAAAAAGGTAGTGCTGAACTACTGGTGAATATACCGGTACATCAGTGGTGGTAGCATTCCTACATTGAATAGAGGAACCCAGCGCCATCTGGAGTATGGTAGAGTTATGAGTGTTCACAACAACTGGAGTGAGTTGGGTCCTAAGTGAAGCAATGGTCTAGGCCCTGCCGAACAGCTATGGTCACAGAAGGGCCTTACCGAACAGCAAGGGCCGCTGAAGACCGTGCTGAACAGCAAGGGCGACTGTGCTGAACAGATGAAACCCCGGCAGTGTAGTAGCATCATAACTCAAAACGGGCGTCTTGCAATAGGTAAATTAACCTGAGCAACGAGAAACTATGGATATTACTGAAAAGAAGACCTAGTATGCTCCCCGTACAAATCCAATAATCCAATAATCCAATGGCCAATTTTTGGCCTTTATAAAAAGAGGGACAAAATTCAAGTGGGCCCTTTTTCTAAGCCATCGGTTTTAAAATAATCGATGTACTCCTGAAGGTATGCTAATT